GTGGTGGTGGTGGTCGTCGTCGTCACCGTTGTAGGTGGGCCCGAAGTGAAAGCCCATCTCTGATTGTCACCGCCATGGCACCACCACATGTACACCTCGAATTGCTGGTGCACCAGCAAGTAGCTGTGCTGCTGTCGGGGTCAGCGCACTCTCGTTCTCTGGCCCTACCTAGTATTAGTAGCCTCTAACCCGATAATGGAATAGCAGTTAAGGTCTTGATTTGGATAGTCTAGTCTTCATAGTCGCTTGACGAAGGTAAGTGTCAGCTGCTAAATCAGCTACATCTTTGATGCTGCGCTCGGATCAGGGTTGAGGGTCCACACTACACTGCACCCTTGTCACTGGCAGAGTTTACCATCCGCGTTAATTGTGATTCATCCATCCTGTAACCCCTCAAAGAATTTCCATCTGCATCGCTACCAGATTGCATGAAGCAAGACTGTGCTTGCCCACTGGTGAAAGATCGACAGGTTAGCACGCAAGGTAGTCACAAGGGAACAGGTAATCAGATCAAGCAACGTTGTCGGTGTTATAGTTGAAGTCCTCAGGCCCAAGCCGAGCTTTGACACGAATGCATTGTGGGTTGCTTGCAGATGTGTGCACAACCATGTAGAATCTGGGCAAGGTGCACTGATCCGCTCCAAAATGCAAACCAAAGCTCCAGGCACTTGTCATCCCACCGTGTACGCAAACTGTCTCCGCGGAAGAACCTTCAGAGGCTCCGTTTGCCGCGACTTGCTCACGAAGCTGCAGGTGGTCTTTTCCCGCACTCGCAGCTAGGACTGCAAGCATCTGCGGACCAGGGTCCACTTCTGATTGTTGTGCTCGTGGCAGGCATACCTCAGCGGTCATGTAACAGGCTGCACCGAGATAGTTGCACGTTGCATGCAAGTATTTATGATCTGCAACAGGCCGCATGTGCACGTTGCCATTGAAGTGGTCGTAATCCAGGCACTTGTCGCTGCCCTGGTTGTGGCGTTTTTCAGTTGGGCACATGGGCCTTCAATTTGCAGTGATGTTGCAGTGCACTCTGCAAGCATCACCAATCAAGGGGAAAGGCACACATCATCCAATCGAAAGCTTTAATCAGCAGCCGATGCACATGTTATCCCTGCACAAGCGGGGAAAATGGCTGGCATATGTGCGGAGAACCAAGCTGAGTGCCGAACCAGAGACTTTATGTGAGAGCCCTCAAAGAAGAATTTCCTCTGCTGACGGCTGACGAAGTCAAAAAAGGCTTCCGCACGCGGATGGCAGCAGAGTCCAAATGCAATCTGTGGACTGTCGGTCTACCTCTTGGCAGCTTCCCATGTACCTGACAAGCTCAGTATCTGCCCAGCCAGCAGCAGCATCTGCACCACATCTGCAGCTGAGCCCGAAGTGCAATCAGGAAGCACATTGCCGTTCTCCTCAAAATCTAGGCAAAGTTGACGGGACCGCTGGGTTTGCAGGTGCTGGGCCTGACCTTGGAGAACCCCAATCTCAACACTTCAGAGCTTCAGCAAGTCTATGATTCTAGACTGACTGTAGGTGCTTCGCCCGGTGCCGGATTGCCGACATCTGACATGTGCCATGCCTTACAGAGGACAGCACAGTGTCCAAAGCTCAAAAGGACAGCTCAGCTACTTCTCCTGCCTCTTTGAGCACTGAGAGGCTTTGTCTGCCTGAGTGTAGGACACCGGCCTGAAAGCTCATGTCTTGCAAATCCACTCATGGAGGAACTCGCAGGATCTGCAGTTTCATGCCTGCTGGAGCAGAACGAGGCGAGGAGCCCTGTCCTGGGAATGCGCCAAATAAAGAAATGAGACTCTCTTGTTTGGCGAAATCTGCTGCCGAACCTTCTTTGTGGTGTCAAATGACATCGTGAGGTACGCCTGCTGAGCCGCTCGTCTCATCTGAACTACAGTGACAATGTGGCGTGCTACCTTTGTTGTGGCCAGGCCATGGAGGATGCACAGAAGCTGCCAAGTTTGCAGCAGCTGAGCCATCAACGGATGTGCTAAAAGACAGAGTTCCTTAATGCATCCTTTTTTTGGGGGGGGAGGGNNGGTGGTGTTTAAGAAGTTACAGCGTTTTAAATGGGAAATATAGGGGAACCTGCGAGATGCTAAAGCATCCGAAAACATCCGAAAACTGACAGAGACAAGGTAGCATGCTGTCTCTTCATCTTGGCATATCGCCGCTGAAGGCCCCTGCTCGTGCTAATACGCAAGTAGCAAATCACAGCGTCGCGGCACGTGAAGCCTGTTGCGCAAACATGACAAATATGCAGCTATCTGAGCCAACATGACTCTAGACGATCCAGGGTTGTCATTCACAAAGCGTGTCCAGCGGGTCTGGTCCAGCTTCACATCGCAAGCACATTTTTGCATGCTAATTGCACCAAAAGGGGGCACACCTAGCAAATGGGAATGGGACTCCATCCCCTGAGGGGCCCGCATAAGCGAACTTCGGGATGCCACTGCAGGCTTGCAGCAGGCTTGCAGGCTTCACGTCTCATACGTCGCATACGGGTAGCACCTCAAGCCTGAAGCTACCTGTATCTCATCAGCAGCGTGCTTCTGAGGTGCCAACTGTGCAATTCCATGTTTTGAAGTGAAGGACATCTGAGGTCTAGCATACGGTACGCGCTCTGAACGAGCCTGCATGTAGCTGGTCACCACGAACATAATTGAAGCAGATAACCCGAAAGAGCCAGGTGCCGTGCGAACTCACACCATTTTGGGGAGAGGCCACAGTTAGCCCGGCCACAAAGGACTGCAGAGACTGTGATACACATCAAACAAACATGATTGCCTGGCTAATGTAGATTCTATAGACTCAAGGCGGCTAATGCTGCTAAAACAGCGGTTCAGCGTTTCACGTCCTGCAGCAGTCCTGCCTGGTTGCTGAATGCGTGAGCTATTGAGAGCAGTCAGGTTTCTGAGCTGCCTCCTAAGCCCACGTGACCATACAACAATGGCCACAACGCATCGCGTGCTCATCTCATCAAAGCAACTGCTGCAGCCTAAAAGACTCCACCTGGCAATGTAAATGCTGTCCTAGAATGTCCTCAACGAATCCAAAGACTCAGAGTGGAGTCCTGGCTCCCAGCAGCTTGCAACTCTGCGGGTAATGTGAGCCACTCGAGGTGCCTCGCGCTCTGAGAATCTGCAGTGTCCGCAGCCTTGAGCCCTGACGAACCACAAAGGTCGGATGTGTTCATTCACTCCCCTTGACACGTGGTGCTCCCAGGGATATGCTGCAAGGATGGTTGTTTGGCTGAGGATGTGTCTCCTTGGCCAATGCCAGTCTACCATCTGCGGCGCAAGGCACGCCCTAGGGTGTGCTCTGGCTTGCTCCTCATCAGGATTGCGCGTCATCTCGCTGCCTTCGCCTAACAGACGAACAAATTTTCTGCGCGGCCCGCACATGCATGACAAGCCGCCAGTGGCCTTGGGCGAGGGACAGGGAGAGTTTGCAGGGCTCTCCACATTCAGGGTACCTGCGGCCTCAGGTGAAGCTGTTTCAGATTGTTGCTAGGGATTTGTTGGCCATTTTCTACACTTGGCTGAATTCCTTCCAGTTGCAACAAGCGCTGGCGATGAGACACCGCGGGTGAGGCCCGGCAGCGCTAGGTCCTTCTTGACCGGTGCCTCTTCCACCGAAGCTTTTGAAAGGATTTGGGCAGGGATGGCAACACGAAGGCCTTCTGCCTGTCAAGTTTCGGCCTTGGCCGTGCAGTTGGCAGCTCTGCATACATCGGCAAGGAAACGTCAAACACATCTCAACCAAACCTGACTCCAAATTAAGTCCTTTTTGTGAGTTGTTGGATGTGGAGCAGAGTTGGCAGAGCCAGCAGGTGTGGAGGGTGTGGAAATGTTGACCTGCGAACAATGTATGGGAATGGTTCAGGGGACGTCGACGGCTGCTTTCATGCCATCATTATGGCGCTTTGGTTTTTACACCGTGGGGCCTGCCTTGTGGTTAGCACAGGAGGCACCTCGCCAATGATGGCACTACCTAGCGCAATGTGCGTGTGAGCAAAGTTTAGATGGTGTCAGTCTGCTTTACAAATGTGCTGAGAGTGGACACAGATACAGGACAGAACACGTCTCTTTAACGGTTTGCGGAAATCAAACATGCCGCATATGCCGCTACATGGCCACCGCATTCCAAAATGTGAACGGCCAAATTTTGATGCGGTGGAGGAATCGCCTTTTCAACTCCCCAAACCTCCGGCGCCGGACGGGGTGGGCACCGAGGCAAGCCCAGAGTCACATAGCAAAGAATGGTCAACGCCAAGAAGGCATATGAAGATCAAAACGCACGGGTTGGGCGGAGCGGATGGGTCTGGGTGGGTCGAAGAGCGGTTTGAGCGATCAGACGGCTTCAACGGCCGCCCGATCTCTTCATGTTACAATGCATAAACGCGTGCTATCAAACATGCCGCTATGCGGTCATGGCATGCCAAAATGTGCGCGGCCCAATTTTGATGTGGTGGAGGAATCGCCTTGAAGGCGCGGGGTCCTCGGACGCCCCAAGACTCCAGGGCCTGACCGGGCGCTCTAGCACTTGCCCGCCCGACCCCGCATCACGCCGGCACCGGACGAAGGGTATTAACAGAGTGGGAGTCCTTCGAGCTCTCCAGGATGCGGTCTGAGTCGGTGCCCACCTGTAGCCATCCCTGTCGTATGGCCATGGTCGTATTACGATGGAGCCGTCCGCCCCTGAAATATACGGTCTGAGACATTTGCCAATCACCAGAGAAACTGCAGTCGCCAGCCTTGTCGGACCACCTGTGACCAGAAAGTCGATAGCAACCAGCTGTTGTCGATGGAAGCAATCCATTCGGGCGGCAGCGCCCGGCCAGTGTGACCACCGCCAGGGTCTGTGCGAGGACTTCGCGCCCATGTCATAACGGGACGCAGCGCGCGGGATCGCGCACAGGCCACTGCGGGATGTCCGTTGCGGTGTGACCAGCACCAAGCTTCATCGCCGCGGAATTTGATGGCCCAACTCGGTGGGGCAACACCCCAACACTCTGCCCAGCCTTGCCCCTTCACAAGCTCAGTCAAAAGGGCGTGACAGCGTTCGCCTAAATATGCGGGGGATGCAAGCTTCCGCTTTACGCAAACCCAGTTGTCAGCGCGGAGCACGTCCAACAAGGCTGGAGTCTGATAGCACCCATCCGTCCTGGTCGGCCAACCTGGGCGCGGGCAGATTTCGCCCAGCATCTGGAAGCCCCAGTCAAGTCTTCCCTAAAGCCCATGCCCATGCTGGGCGACGTGCGCCCAGTCCTCCACCAAATACTGCAGCTCGTGCATGATGACGCTAGTTCGAACGCGCACGATGTCGTGTGTCTGGACCATTTGGCGTGGCCTTGCCAGAACAATGTCACCCAACGGATGGCCGCGGTTGCGCTAAACTCAGTCGACGGTGCTGAAGGCACGTCCTGCTGAAGGCACTGTCCTGCTGGATGCCGTAGGTGGTGTAGAGAAGATAAGGTCGCCCGCAGCGACGATTGGCGGCGAGGTCTTGCCATCACCGCCTGCCGCGAAGTAGCCACCAGCAGTCGGGGCGCCGAGGACCCCGCAGGGGCTGGTCGGTGGAAAGGTGCTGCTCGGCCGCCCATGATTAGAAGTTCGACGGTTAGAGCGTTTGCCGCCCCAAGCCGTCAGCAGGAACCACAGGATGGATGACCCATGAAAACTGTTTCATCGTCAGCGGCGTTGCTGAAGTTGTCCGCCGATCGACGTGGTCTTCAGTGGCAACTGCTGTCACCTCCGCATACCTCCGACAGTTCCTCTTGGACTACCGCCCTCGCCCTCACATGACGGTGGGGCGTCCAAGCGCGAGCGCCCTCCGCAGGCGCACAAAGAAGCTGGGAAAACACCACCCTGCAGGCAAGGAAACAATGATTATCGGGGTCCATGGGGGCACTGCGGCAGGATACACAACACCATAGATGCAAAGAAGCGTAGTGGACGCAGCAAACGGACGCATTTTCTCATTGTCCAGCTACTCATACGGATCTTCGTCGTCAAAGACGAGTTCCTCGCCATCACCGAAGCACAAGAAGAAATTTCACGAAGTAAGACAGCGGAATGATAAGACCACAGGGGAAGCCAGGCGTCACATTTGCAGGCACGGACCCAACAAGTGGTGCACCATGGCAGTTTTGCAACGTGTTCAAGTCGTCGTCAACCTCGCTAGGCCCTAGCTGGGGAAAGACGCCTCTGCCCCTTACCAGTTGTTGGACACCTTCTGCTCGGGAAACACAGTTGGCCATGGTCAGAAGGCTTACCTTCTTACCTCAAGAAGACAAACATCTATCCAGGCAGCTTTCAACATTACACAACCCGGTATGCAGAGTTGTGCAGCATGCGTCTGTGTACACGACATGGATGTTGTGCATTCTGCAACTCCCTCTGCAGAAAGCCCGTGTGCATTTAGCCACCACGACGATATGCCTGAAGCTTCCCCTTGGTCCTCTACTCTCGTGTGAGGCGGCTGCTCTCTCTGGCCATCACCCAGCTTGCCACAACCAAACTTCAGCAGCGTCAATAGCAAAGCAATCAACCGGCGGCTGAAGTTTGCACAGCAAATCCGTTGCAATAAAACGAACACTGTACATGATGTCAAGGCCTTTGTATTTCGTGGTCCTACGTAGTGGATGAAGATCAACAATATTTTAGCAACATTGTTTCGCAACATTTTAACAGGTGAATCCAGTTTGTCGTTAGGACTGCCCTTTGCACCCTTCAGCTTTGAGCAGGTGTGTGTATATATATATATATACATGTAGTTCTGCTTGCTAAGGAATATGGACAAGCTTACAGTTCATGAAGTGACTTTTGTTTGTTCTTTCTTTCCATCCAGGGTGAACCAACTAGGAGGCCTTTGAAGCTCTGCCCAACGAAGCTCGATATAGTGTCCTCAGAACCTCAGGCTGCTGGGACCAATTATCCCAACATCCCTGCTTCAAAGTCGGGAGCTTTTCTTGTCCTAAAACTCGAGCAGTGGTTGAGCGCAGCAGTACATGTCAAACATGTGTGTCTGTGACTGCCATGCCTCAGTTTACATGTACAGCTCACAGGCAGCAGCAGCAGCAGCAGCAGCAGCAGCAGCAGAAGCAGCAGCAGCAGCAACACAAAAGGAGGTTTCAGAGCATCAGGCCACCCTGCAAGCCCTTATTGCATGGTGACAAAGTTGAGAAGACAAGCTGTCTTACATTACTTCCGGACCTTCAAGTCTGAGAATAGTATCACGCAAGTTTGAGGATTCCAGGAGTGGCAGGGATCAATGTAAGTCTGCAGACAGCCTCTGATACCAGAGCCTCCTAGCTCAAGCCAGTGCATGGCTGTGCATTGAAATATCTGCAGTGGCAGCTTACGGCATCTGATTGATTTCAGCATCGTTGGTCAGCCACACCACTAGTTACACCTGGAGCTGTGAACAGCCCTGCATTCAAGCTTCGCTCTTTGACTCAGCAACAGAAACGCATGCATGAATACAACCGGACTTGCTCGAATACTTGAGGTTCAGCAGCAAATTGTCATCATGCAGCGAACTAACGACCAAACAAAAGCAGCCTCTGATGTATCACGGCTGCACTATGAACGCGATGAGACTTGCCAACCGCAGAGTATGTTAAGATTCGCACGTCTTGGGAACGCGCAGCGAGCCTGGCATGACTGGACCGTCCTGGTTGTAGCGCACCTGCAAAAATGGTAACTCTGTGCGAATTATTGCGAACCTGAGATCAGCCTAAATCTGCCCATAAGGTTCTGACGAAAGCAGGTGCTGTGGCACGCTGTGCCTCCTTGCATCCAGCCAGCACGTGGCCAGCGCGACGCACTGACGAATTAAATCAAAGGCCTTGACTTGACGACTAGTTTCAAGCCATCATACTCGTAGGGTCGTAGGGCACGGCTGAGCAAGATTCTTTCAAGCAGTCCTTCCGTACCTCCTTACCACCGTGGGTTGTGTACCAGTCCTTTGCCACACATTGGATGTTAAACAGACTCATGTCAAACAGCTCATCTGAGGAAGGATCAAAAATCTTGTCCAAATGGTTGCACCTTGCCTCAGTCAAAGAGCGTTTCGGCTGAAATTGCTAGGCGCTGGATCCTCCCCTAAGCTACCCACCTGGTGTGCAAAATCCTCACGGAATAAAAGCAAGTGAACTTCTACAAGTGCAAATAAAAACTGTTTTCGCTTGCCGCAGTGCTCCCGAAGTCGCTCATCACCATCCAGATCCATGTTCAACATCAGGCGCCTTGAACGGTCTTTACGCGCCGTTTCTACGACTAGCCTGGCGCTCTGCGCCGGATATCGACACAGCGTCTACTAGCCTCGTGTTGTGCCTTCTGAGGAGCAGGCCTGAGGGAGGTATCCATTTTGTTGCGCCATTGCAGACGTGTCTCTGTCTGACTCATCCTGCCAAATCAGTGACTTTCATATGGGTGTATTCAACATGGTCCGTATATTATCCCTAATCAGGGCCCCATTAATCACAATCCTATGCTTGGGGCCCCAAGGGACCTTTAATTTTGATAAAATCCCATAAGTGTTTCTGACCGCTGGGTGTGTCCTCATCACCGGGCCCGGTGACGTGGGGGACTTGGATGGCGAAGCCTGGAGGAATGTTCCGTGGCCCAATGACTCTGCTTTTGCATGGCTTGGGGCCACACCTCGCCAGAGTCACCTGCCATACTGATGTGAAGCGCAAAATGAAGTTTTGGAGGAGATCAATGCGGTTCGCCCTGCGCTACATCCAGAAGCAACAAAATGTGAGACGAGGGTTTGAGCAGCAATGCATGGCGCGCTCACTCTGGTAGCTTGGCGGAAGCTTCTTGTCGCTCCCCACTGCTGGCACATCAGCCTCGCACAGGTCAGCAACTGCAAGTCAATTCTGGAAGGAACCCCAATCAGTTCCAATCCGCTCTAGAGCTGAAGCTGAGGTCCACAGCCACTTCCGTTGCAATGGAATGCAACATTCGATTCACCTCCTCGCAACCTCGGTCATCTGCAAAATTCAATGCTAGCTATAGCTTGGAGCAGGAGAGCTTCGGAGTTGGTTGCTATACGGCCCTGACAAATGACACGAAAAGGAAACCTGATGCAGGCCTTCTGTTATGCCATGCGGGTTCTTTGGAGGGCCTTGTGGAGCTGGGGAGGTTTTTCAACGAGAGGAACGTGAGGAAAGCAGCACCGCGGGTACAGCAAACACCATCATCACCGCTGCCGCCACCGCCACAACGGCCACAACCGCCACTAGCACCCCCGCCGCCACCACCACCACCACCACCAACAACAACAACAACACCGCCGCCAGCACCAGCACCAGCGCCAGCACCAACAACGACGATGACAACAAAAGCGGCAGCAGGGGCTACAGTTGCGCCTACTGCATTTGATTTTGCTATGTGCCTGCTGGCCTACACAACCAGAAGACTGCTAGGCATTAGGAACACTAGTGGTTATCGCCGCCGTAGTAGGCAGAAGTTTCAGCATCGCAGGCAGTGTTATTGCAAAAGCAACAAGAGCGGCAGCGGCAGATGCAGCACCGGCAGTAGTTATGAGCAATAGTATGATGCTACAGGTTCGGAGCTTGCGAGGGCCTCAATTTGGCAATCAAATTAGTGCAGTTGTAGACACAATCCAGCTGAATTTCGTCCTGACAGTGATCGCTCCGAAACTTCTACAAGCTGTTGGGAAACTCGTCATACTGTTGATGGATGAAATC